AAAGGGCAACTATTTTCGTTTTCCTGAGCCGAGATCTACGCAAAGGCTTCAAAAAGCACCAGCAACATCCCTACTGCAGGGTGCCCAGCCAAGGGCATCAGTGATGGCATCAGAGGCTGGGCCCAGGATACCCGCTGAGGCACAGGGGTCGAGGTGCTGGCAACCAGAAGGGGAGGGAGAACAGGAGACTTCCCAGGGCCAAGGGAAGGAGAAGACTGGGGCACTGATGGATAAGAAGTTTGCTGAGGTGCTTTTAACTTTAGCAAGTGCCTCAAACAAAGCTTACCATCAACAACCACCTCTGCTGTCCACTCAATRACATCTTTTTCGTTCCTCAGGTTCTCTCTCCTTTCACTGGCTATAAAAGGAAGGAAAAAAGGAAGTTATACACAAGAAGCAAAGTTTCAGGTACAAGTTTTCATTGTTTACAGAATTTTAGCTTAGCAGGAACTAAGAGAATCACCGGAAGAAGTAATTTCTAATAAGGAAAGAAATCAGTGGAAGTAATTTTTAATAAGGGAATATTTACATTAAAAAATAGAAACAGCTAAAACATTGCTCAGCTAGCTCTGTAAAAGGTAAACCTAAGAACGGAGCAGCTGCCGCATTACGTTGACAATTTGGTTGACATTTTGACACACCATTCAAACTGAGAGTTTTTTTCCTTCTCTGAAGCAAATAGATTTGCTTTCAATATCTCATTTTGCAAAGTGGCTCTTGCAGGCACAAATCTTTCCTTGTCGTTCACACAAAAATGTTTAATGGATTTGTCAACTTTGAGTGCCTTTCAAAAGCACAAAAAGATTTTCACGCTATAAGCAACAGCATTTGAAACAGAATGAGGCRTTAAATATAGATATAAGTACCACCAACAAAAGAAGTCAATGCTGTTCAGGAAGCATCTGTAAGTAAGAAGACCCGGCAATGGTATAGGTCAGGATATTGTGTACAAGTACCTGTTGAATCCTTGGACAGTCACTGGCACATGCAGCAGTCTTTTTCACGCATAAAAGGGAAATGAGCACCAACCACACAAATTCATGGCAATATASGTGACAGTGCTGTAGTAACAGCCTGCAAAACCTTAGGGACAGAAGAGCTGTCAACAGAGGACTAAGCGATGTGCTATTCATACCCACAGTTACAGAGAACACACACTCGGCTCCATGCACACAGCCTCCCTACTTCTTTCAATTTTCATAGTGTTTCAGTTCAGTTCATTTGATTTCATTCTATAGCTTTGTACCTATATTTAACTCCTCACTTTGATTCAAATTCTTATGTCTAACAATAACAAAAAACTTCCCATGCTTWTGAAAGTTACATATCTGTTAGCTCATACAACGTATTTAAAGGCATCATTAAGTCGCAGGCCTGTTAATTCTTGTGAGACTCGACAGGCTCATAGGGTAGAGTCACACATCAACATTGCCATCAGCAACCCTGATAATAAGAGAACCAGGGCCTCCCAACACAGAGCAACAGCCCCGCTCGTCTCTTCTAGCTCTCCGTGCATCATGAGGATGCATCTGTGCAAGGAATGAACGCAGACAAATTTCCATGAGAAAGGCTTTAGGCTTTCCAGTGAAGCTCTTCCTCTTCCCAATAGGTTTCTCCTAGACAGAAAAACATCTGGCTCTAGTCATCTCTCCTTACTAAATGTCTTCCTAAGCCTTTATTTACTCTTGCTTTACAGAATTCACTGCAGAAAGAAGTGACAGAATCTTAATACCAAGGAAGAGAAATACTGTCTTTCTCTGACAGTGAGATTATGCCCTAGCAGACTACTTAACACTGTTATTACCTTGGAGTGTCCCATAACTTCAGCCGTGTGTTTTAAATTGATTAGCTTCCTAGGCTGAATTACTTCCTGAGACAGGGCTTTATTTTGACAACATGCTGAGAGTACAGCTGTCTGAGCAAGAGTTATCTGCAAGGAACAGAAGAAGTTACTTATAATTTAGCCCAATATCAGAGAAATAACTAAAACAAATACTATTTCAAAGTTATATTTTGTTTAAAATGTTTCAGCAAGAAAAAATCATTTTTCCAGTTGCTCTATTAAACATGAGCACTGTACTTAGTAAGGATAGACAACCTGCAGACAGACCAAGTCCTGTAAGCCTAAGACACTAAAACCAACTGTTATGAAATAGGTTATAGAGGCACTACTTTAACACTACTTCTTCAATTTGCCATTGTTTCCAACAGGTTTGCATAGCTTTGGGCAGTGCTAGTATGTACAGAATTGGGTCTCAAAAGAGAATTCATTAGAAAACTTAGTGTACAACTGGAAATTATACTAAACTMTAAGACCAAGTTTCTTTAAGCATTCTTTAGGTATTATCCACTAAAAACATATTTTAAAGAACACTTGTGCAAAGCAACACAGATCACGTCCTTGCATTTTGTTCATTTTCCACTTTAACTCCTATGACTACTACCCAAAATCACTTTCAGCCCAGTAGCTACATAAGTAACCAAGTGCTATATGCAAAAGTGAAGCCTTCCTTCGACYACTCATTAATCTTAAATCCAAGGCATTTTGACCCTCCTCTGCTCCCCCTGGATGGTTGAACACAAGTTGTCCATTTTAACTGATGATGGTCATTGAAACCTTCATTGCCAGAGCCCAAGCAAGGAAGCCCTTTTCTGAAACCAGGCTTAAGGAGAAAGGGCCAGTTACTCTCAAGTTCCTACAATAACAGTGATTTATCACAGGCTAATTATGATTATGTCAACAAATCCAACATAATAGGAACAGATGCTTTTTAGAGTGATCGTGTTCAATTATGCTTGGATTATCAGGGTGAATAGCAACACAGATATTTGCTTTGCTTCCACAGTCAGTCAAAAATCCCAGAGAYTGGTCCTGTTTAAAGTCAGTATAAAATGATGCCAGGAAACTGGAAGGCAAAGGGCTTTTCTGTAAGATCATTAGAATACTCAAGTGTTGCATACCTAAGTTAGATAATTAAACTCAAACCTTCTCAGAATTGCAGGGCCAAATATATGCAGGTAGAAAAATTAAAATGCAAAATACAGCACATAATAGCTAGGAAAGCTGTTTTGACTTTCAAAACAGAGTCTTCTCATACAGCCTAAGAAATGTGACTTGGTGATACTTATCTATGACAAGCAAATTTTAATTTGCAAGGCAGAATGGAATTTTATATAACTATAAAATGCTTCCTTTTGAAGTCTTGGAGCTTATGAGCATCTTAAATTAGCAAAAGGTATTTCATATTCCCAGAGCAATGCAAAAAGAAATAAAAGCTAATCATGACATTCGTGTATTAGTTTTTCATCAAGTGAACAGCATCTTAAGCTGTACGCTCCTCAGCACAATAAACTCCTTATTCTTTTAAGTGGTAGTTTGTAAAACCAGCAGAACAACTTCCAGCAGCCTTTAAATCTAAGTTACATGSCTAATTTCAAAATTCCTCAGTTCTTGCCAGGAAGGTCTAAAAAGCAAATTTAAGGCCGATTCAGCAACAATAATATTCATAATATTAGTGTAATCAGCAAGCATTGCCAATAACATTATCTTAATTCTAGCCTGGCTAATAGCTGCATATTTTAATCAGTTCTTAAACCGCAGAAGAGACCTACAGCTGCTGAAACTATCTCTCTGTTAAGAAAACATAATCCATTAGAAATATTCCTTATAGGTTATTGTTTCTAGCTGAACTGCATTTCCTACAAATGGAGCAAATTCTAATATACTTAATTTAGCACTGTCCTGCCTGATGTACCATATAGCTTTTCAGTTAGAAAGCACCATGAGAAAACAATCTAATTACATTCTTGCTGAATATTAAAGAGTTTGCACTTCCATATGGGAATTCTCAAGCTTTAGGTTGCATTTCAAGAAAAATGGAGCAAGCAAACACAAAGGACATGCTGAGAGGCTGCAGAAACTGGAAATGACAGCAGCTGGGGAACTACCAGGTTACTAAAATTTAGATGTGGCCATATGAATACTAGAATAATGTAATATACAGCGAATGCAAGCCCCCTGCAAATTTACTTGACAGTTTTTCTTTTGCAATTTCCCTTGGAAGACTTGTGAAAACACACACAAAATGGTCTTTTGATCAGAATTGATCAGAAAGGATCTTTTTTTTTTTTTTTTTCCTGCAAATTCCTCATCATTTGGATTCAGCTTTTGGCATCCCTAAAACAGGGACGGTAGGAAAAAAGYGTAACCATATGCACATTGTATTTGGATCAAGGAAAAAATACAAAGGAGTAGTTTAAACTATATCTGTAATCACAAGCAGCAAGCTTTTAACACTACATCTGTTCTTTTTGCAAGAGAAAAAGAAATAATTAATGCAGAATTCTATTCACTGCTAGACAAGGATCTTCTTGTCAAGATATCAGTTCCACCAGCACTATCACAACAGCAGCAGCAGCAAACAGAACCAAAAAATCCCCTTGGATTAGAGTTAATTCAACCTAATCTCCTAGCACAATCACACTCAAGGCTTGCATGATCTTGCATCATATAAAATGAAGTTTTGCAACTACAATTTAACAGTTACACTTTTTCATCAAAAGTAGAAGGAAAAATATCCATTCCTCCCAAAACACCTTAGAAATCACAATGCAGAAAAATAACATGACATTGAAAACTGAAAGTTCACTGCTATGATATCTCACCAGGTAAAATGAGCTATATTTTACCCGAAAGTCACCATCTGATACCATACACAATAAAGTATGMAAGTCCTATTACACTTCTACTCTTCATCTCACCAAATAAGTCTTTTCATGTAGAAATACTTTCAATTAGTAAAACTTTCTTGCACATTACTGTATAATATAAAAAAAATGCATTTGTATACGAAATTTTCTCCTCAGGAAAGTAACTGTATATTGATCAGAAATTAAAGAATAAAGAAACCTAAAGAACAGTAAAGAACAGTAAGACTTTCAAGTATTTCTTTATTTTTCATTTTCTCATTTCATTCACACGAAGAAAAAAGTCAAAATCAAGTGATTGCACATTTTTATTCACAAGCTTACAATATAATATAAATATAACCCATATAAATGACATCAGCAGTGCTCAAAACACCTCTCCGTTTGCTTCTTATTTTTGKATGTTATGTAGAGAACAATTGTGCTAAATCCTTTGATGTTCACTGCAATGCAAGAACCTGTTGTTTATCCTTCAGAATCTCTTCCTCATCATCCATTTGGCCTTCATCCCAGTCCCTTAAAAGAAATACCAGTGACTGTCAGCAACTCAGTTTTTTCAAACTACTGTACTTAAGCCTTGGTAATATATGTTCACACAAGCACAATAAAACCACAAACATAGCTCTCTGTATTGCATATACACATAAATTATAGGCACCTATATTCATTTTTCTCCTCTACTTTTATCACACCCATTTTCAGCTCTTAACCAAGAGAGAGGAAAAGAACACTGTCACTATCATGCCCTAGAGAAATCCTACATCCTAGAAGGGGTAAAACAAACCAACAAAATAAATCATTTTAAAAGCACAGTACAAAATATAGAATTACTGCTCAACTTCCAGTTAAACAGAACCAAATTTAACTTAAGTTAAATGTTATTGACTCACCTGTTCACAGATACTGTTGTCCAAAGTACCTTTCAAWGAATGAACTCATATGATTTTTAACAGACATTTCCAAAGTCTTGGTGCTATATGTTAACCAAGCTAATGTATTAAAAACCATAACCCCAGCTATAATTTGTGGTCTCATAAATGAAATACATCAATCATTTGAAATGTCCGAGTACTGACTTAAMACACCAAAATATAAAGTATCTTGCTGACATTTCTGATCAGCAATCAGGAAGTCGAGACTGTTTTCACTTTGGTTCTTCTGAGGCATCGCGCATTCTACAGTGTCATAAAGCCATGACCATCAGATTTAACTTACCTTAAAGCATCAACTCTGCTGTGGTCTTTTGGTTCTATTTTTCCGGGAAAATTTGTACTCTGAAAGTCTTTAGAGGTTAAGCTGCAAGTTTTCTCTTGAGTATTTCCTGAAATATTTTAGTGTATTTTAGTACCACACATAAAAGGCATGCGACGAGCTACGTGTCTTTTATGTATAAATGAACAAATGGCTTAGGATGTCACTACAAACCCTTCAATAAGGCCTGGCTTGTGTTACATGGTTCCTGTCTCACCAGGAGGGATGGAGAGTCAGTCTGCTTCAAGATCTTATGCTAGCAAAGCATCAGCTTTTGTATGTAGCATTCACTAATTCACTAATTCACTAATGCCATCTCCAAACACTAGAGCAAAGATACAGGTCAAGTAGCTGCCTCATGAATGTCCCTCAAACCAGACCATATTGCAACTCTTATCGCCCCATCAATCCAAAGAGATCATCRAGTGCATTCACAGCTTATGCTTCTTTACAACATATTTGCATGAATGCTATTAATTCCCTAGTTTCATATAGGTTTATGCTTCTGACCGAAGTCTCTAAGTAAGTGAAAAGTCTTCTAAGAAAATGGGAATGAAGAGGGAGATGAAGAATGGGGCGGTTTCTTGAGTATTAACACTTCCCTCCCTGCTCTCCTCTGTGCATAGGCAGCACAGATTGTCATTCTTTAACTCCTGGGTTTGATGAGAAGCTATCAAACAAGGGAGGACAACTCTCTTAAACCATCGTATTTTGCTGTTTCTTATTAGCGGCAGTTCTCCTCAGGACAGATGGGTAATTTCCACTCAACTTTCCCCATGACCCCTACATGAAAACAAATTCTGCTTTCCAACAACCAGGAGATTCATTATTACATAATGAAATAAAAGGATACTTAGTCAAGAGAAACGCATGATCTGACAGAGCACCTAGCATCCAGCAGACTGCTGGAACAGAATGCAATGGATGAAGATCCTTAATTTTCATACTGTAACTTGCTTAACTAAATTAACAGAGAGTTAAAACACAGTCCCATGGAAATAAAAGATTCTGTTCAATCACAAAAATAGTCTTTCGTATTTCTRAAAGATTAGTACATTTTGTTAGAAGACAAAATAATTTTACATTATGCTTTTAAATAAGAAGGAAAAAGCAGCACTGCCACTTACTTATGTAACTTTGTAATTCTCTTTCCAAAGTGAGTAAGGCTTCTTGGTCAGCACTATCTCCCAAAACATCCTCCTCATGTCCATCTCCGAGGCACTTGTCTCTTGATGTTGCATTAACACCTCTCACTGGATGCCCAGGTGAACTCCTTGGTCTTGGTCGAGGGCTTGTTGGGCAGTTTCCAGCCAATTTATAGTACAGCGTGTTYGTTGACCATGGTCTTCTAGAATCATTCCCTGATACAACACAAAAGGTCACAACCCCTAACAAATTCAAGATTTTATGTTATCAAGAGAATATAGACTCAGCTAACTGATGACCTTAAGTTAAAGTTATCAACTGAATCCAATTGTTTATTAATTTTAGGTAAAACTGAAYTGATCAGCATTAATAAAAACATCAAAAACATCATGTGAAGTAGCCTCTCATACTTAGGGGCTAAAGAAACATTCCCAGTTAAAGACCATATATGATGGTACAATTTTTGAAGAAGATAAAATAAGGATGTTTGTGGAAAACGTTTGTTCTTTCATTTTGAATTTAGGTGTACATAAATAAAATATTAATGAAAAGGCCAAGCTAATTGCTTAAGATATGTTTTCCATCAGAGAGAGACAGTTGAAAGTGAGAACAGTAAGTGAAAAGTACAGGAGGCATTACTTATTTTCTTCTTTTCTCATAAGAATTGCTTTTTGAGTTAAGAATTATCTCTTACTGAAATCATCTTACAAGAACTTCTGTAAGCATTTTGAGCACTTAGTATAGCTCTGGAGAGGACAGTGTGATCACCACAAGCATCACAGACTTGATTGTATGTAAGGAAAAGGAAACTCTTGGATAATACAATTATCGAACAGCACAATTTGAGAATGCAAGTCTTCAGAGATCTCACTGCACCTCTGGGAAATCACCATGTTTCCAATGTCCGACCACAGCTACATCTGCTAAATGTTTTTGCATTTGTTGGAATCTACTTTGACAGACACAGTTGGTTTTACAGACAAGTAATGTCATTTCCTCTGAAAGGAAGCATTTAAGCTGGAGTTTTCTAGGCTACATTCTTCATTATCAGAGGAGTTGAAAAAAAATGGATGCATTTTCAAGTACACCATYTGAAAATAAAAAGTGGAGAAACTCTAAAAATACTCCTCTTTGAAAACAGTATTATATTCCCAACAAAAAAGAAAACAGCCCTACAGCTTGCATCTTAAAAGCCCTAAAGACCCAAAGGATCAGAGTCACTAAACATGTATGCTTTGGTTAAAGATAACAAGGTTATAAACATGCTTAAAAAAAAAATCACAAAGTAAAAATAACCAGTAAACTAGAACCTCAAAACTGTTTCTACCCATACCTGGGTATGCTACCATCAGGGGAGACATTYTATTTGCAGAGCTTTGTCTTTCCAGATATAAAGATCTGTTCAACTGATTTTCTAAAACATCTTGAACTAYAGAGTCATCAGCATATTCACTTAAGCCTCTGTCAATAGTCCACTTTCCATCTCCTGAAATACAACAGCATTGGAGAAAAATATTTGCCTGTATTATAGTAAATACATTATCACAATTGCTACATTGAATATATGTACAATTAAAAGAAGCAACAGAATAAGTTTTCTGCATATTATGGGAAAAAACATAGCAGACTACGTAACTTAAATTCCAGGGATATACTTAGATTAATATTTATGCTCAAAAATTTTCCATGTTATTTTACATACACCATTAAACGCAATAAGTGATACCTTTCAATTTGGTGATGCATATTACAGGAAAAAAAGTTATTCCAATTGTAACCAAATTTTCAGTGGATAGAAAAAGACACATCTAAATATCAACCTAGATTTTATCTACCACAAGGTATTGAGTTTATTTATCCCTCCACACCACTGGCAGTTTTTGTTGACACGACCCCAAAGTGATTTTAAGGTAGATCCAGGTAAAGCAGTTACATAAAGAGAGGTGTTATAGAGGCCGTTCACAATACGCAGTTAATCAGCACCATTACCTGAAAATGAAATATTATGTTTTGCAGCATTTGAGTCAGCACAACGTGAAGATGATGCTTTGAGCGTTCCTTGTTTCGGGTTTACACCTAAAACAAAGAAACCTTCAAGTCCCCAATTCCACGTAGAAACACATTTCTCTCTTTGGGCTACTTCCTGTAACAACTTGAATAAAACACAAAAATGTTAAAAAGGAAATGGCTACATACCTCTCCCTTGCAAGTTTATATTAATAAAATGATCACTTCATAAAACATGGRATGATTCTAATTGCCTAATGTAATTGATGCATTTTTCTGTAATGTTGATGGCTTTAACGATAAGTGCTTTCAAAATCTACAGACTGCAGTTGCTATGTGACAAGAGAATGTCGTCTTCTGATTGAACATAGCAATGAGAAGCAGTCTTTGTTTACTTGCTTTTATTTATCTTCGTGTATATCAACAAAAGCAACATTGACTACCTCACAATGACATCAAATCTAATGGCCCTGTCTTCACCATTACTATTGTCTTCCAACTTTCTTTTCAGCAAAAGAACACATGAATATTTTAGGTTTGATAAAAGCATCTGCAATTTGTGGTACCGAACCAAGAGGAAGCAGCCTTGATATCAATATGTGAAGAGCAGGGTGCTTTGTTTTGTATTTTTTTTCCTTTCTCTTGACAGCGACCAGTCTGTTTTATTTTTTTTGGAACAACTACCAACAAAGGACTGACAATACAGAGTGAAATGAACAAAAGCCTTTTCATCCTCACAGGATGAAACATGTGATACGGTAACAAACCTCTCTGAACAGAACTACACTCTTGACTGTTTCTTCTTTGTGGGTATTTTGCGGGGAGGGGGGTGGCAGGTAGGGAAAGGCGGACCATGTATGTGGGAAGGAGGAAGAGGAGGACAGTCTCACAGAGCCTATACAACTGTTAGTATCAACTGACTTGGAAAGTAGATAGGCAACACAGTTGACACATTTAGCAAGATACAGTATTTTACCACTAAGGACCAGTTATTGCAGCCACTGTCCAATTCTCATTAACCTGTCTTCCCATAATTGTGTCTCAAAGAGATATTTGYTGCTTACTGGTTTAGTAGAGTTAGAGATCTTCTCGGGTAGCTTACAGCTAAGCATTCTTCCCACAGTCTTTATTTCAATTCTCTCCTTGGMCACTACATTTCTTTCAAGACAACTGCAGAAAATACTTTTTCCTGTAAGAGGAGAAATAAAATAATTAATAGGGSGATATTTAATGAAAATTTATATTAATTATAACCTGCAAGCCTACACTATTGCTCTTCACAAATTCAAAACAAGAAGATTCTGCTCAAGCTAGCCCTAAGGCATAAGACAAGAAAAAGCATCAACTTTCAGCATCTTCCAGAGCTGCCAAGCGAGCAGACTTGCTGCTCAGAGTACTAGCTCTGCCTCCCGTGGGTCCATTTCCTTTCCTTGCTCCCTGTGAATACCTCAGATCTTGACAATACTTTTAACATACTTCCAACTACCTCATGACAGTTTTTCCTTTGTACTTTTAAAGTGCTCTGTAATCTAACTAGAGCTATCTTAAGAACTGCAATAGTAACATTTACTTAACACTTCTTTAAAATAGATTCTGTTGCCTAACCACCAAGCTGTGGTCAAGAGGCCTGCATGGTTCAGTGAAGTGCACATTTTAAAAAAGATCATAAAGATATTTTTTCAGACCAATATCATGGTTGATTATCACATCCTATGTGGCTATGACAAAACTGTACAAAAGAGAATTCTGTAGAGGCAAGAAATAGTTTTCAAAACTTACCTTGAGGAATTTCTTTGGGAAGAATAGGATCTCTATCAAGAGGAGGCAAAAGACATGGAGTGTCAGCTGTAGAATTTAAATGACCAAATGACTTTCTTGTTACACCTRCAATTTCTGCTGGCGAAAGGTCTGTTACTGTGCTCCTCTGCCCTGAAGTTGCTGCACCACTTTGAGGAGGGAATAGGAAAGACCGAAAAGTAAAATAAAACAAGGCAGATCACATCAAACTACAGCTAAATCTTAGGAGATCAGAAGAACTGCACATGTACTGTTAGCAACAAAGGTCTATTTATGAGGACTCTTAGTGTGCCTGCAATTACAAGATTAATCAGGATCTTTAAAGCACACAGCMCAACACAGCCCAAATACAGACTTGTTTGTGTGCAATTCCCCTGCTGCTACTGGATTAAAAATATGCAAAAGAAATTTCATCTGTAATCCAAGATTTACACATATGAAGAAATGCAGCTTAYACGACTTAACATTTAAAGGGATAAAGCAAATAATTTTCAACTCAACAACTCTCTAACTACAGACAGACATAGCTGAGGACACAAAATTACTATTCACCAACTTAATGGGTGTTTCACATGTCTGTTAACTAATAAATTGTTTTTAGAACTTCTCATAAAATATTCATTAGGTCATCAGGTCAATCACAAAGTGAAAACATTCAAGATGACAGAGAGTAATCACAGACAGCATCTTGGAACAAAGCAAAGGAACTCAAAGAACTCAACTGACAGCATCATAACATTAGCACAGGCTGTGTCTTATGATAAGGATGAGAAGATCRATTTCCCAACCATGCCTGAGAACTAACTGCAGTCAAGGAGTCTCCAAGATTCACAGGAAATGATTTTCTGAAAAGAGCTTGTTATTTAAGAATGTAACTATTTAGAAGTAAGACAGGATTATTCCCATTTCTAAATAATCTCTGCATTTCTGATACCTTCCAGACTGCTTGAGTGGTTCAGTTTTTCTTTGCTTATTCATTCCCATAGCCCCAGCTTCCTTCACCAAAAAGTTAGATGATTGGTCCAAGTCCTTGTCATAAGACTAATCAAAGAAATAAATACATATTCAGCAACAGATTAATACTCTAAAAACATTAACTCAAGTGAGCAGAAGCCTGTAGATTTTCTTTTGCACAACTTCTATATAACTGGGGTCACTGGACACAAACTAAAAGAATTAATGAGATCTTTTTGCAAGGTACTCTTTTCATATATGTAGTGTGGATCAACAACACCCCAAATAATGAATGCACTTATTTAGTAGTTGCTAAAATTTAAATTTTATCATATCAACTTGATTAAAGACAATAGGACTTCTAAAGTAAATCACTTGGGATCACTGCAAAGATAACATCATTCATTACATGCTTACATCATCAAGGATCTCAATTTTCAGAGAGGATTCTGCTCTCTCAGAAACAATGTCGGGTTCTTTCTCTCTGAAAAGAGCTGCCCAATATCTCTTCATATCTTCAACTACAAAATATAATTAAATTYGACACGCTCATTTTTTCCAACTTTAGACAACTTACACACCTACAAAAATTTGAATATTTTTCTTATTATGAAGCAGCACATGTTTCTCTGTTAATCTCCTGATACATTCTTTTTTCAGGTAGAAACTAGTCTGTGACTGTTCAGCAATCAAAGAGAGGAAAAACATCCCCCAAAAGATCCCTAACAGCTTGATTCAGTAAAGAGAAATCCAATACACCTGTTGAATAGTCATCCTCATCACCATCATCATCAYCTCCTTTTCCACCTTCTTCTCCAATCACAGCAGCCTGATGTTCATTAACTGCTTGCACAGGCCTTAAATCATTAACCTGATTACTAGAAACTTGATTAACAGAAGTTCTAAAAAAGAAAAAGAAAATCTTTTTAAAAAGATTAATCTTTAAAAAATATTATTTATGTATTATATGTATTATTTCAGCAGTACCTAATCCATATTTACTGCTAGTGACAAGCAGCAACTACTAATTTCAGCAGTATCCCCTCACACTTTAGGGATTAACAACATATTCCCCCTTATATTTACAAATAAGTATCCTGAAGGTCATACTTTTCCTCTATGAAACTCTATAACAAATACCCCTAAACCAAGCTGCCGAGTACTACAAATGCTACAACAAACAGAGCAAAGAGAATCCTTCAAATTACTCCCCCTGTARTAATTCTGAAATATTTGGTCACCAMATCTGGTTACAATTATTATTTTAATTACAATAAAATACCCCATACACTATCATTTTAATTAATAAAATTTCACCAAAACTTTAATATTTGATAGAGTATTGAAAGTTCTTTAAGTATTTTTCACTTCTTCCATAAGTAATTTCAACAATACCTTCTGTGCTTCTTAAGCAAGAGTTTTTCCATGTAGCTCAGACTGTCTGCACTGAACTCAACTTGGATAGGTTCCTTCATCAGRGTAAGGTGGGTCTGTACTTCACAGACTCCAACAGATTCTATTAAAATAATACACATGTACACAGTTATTCAGATTTGTAAGCTTGCTACACTATTTTTAAATGAATACCACATTCCATGACTCCACATATAAATCCCTACCATGTCATAAACAGGCAAAAAGTATCACTAGTATGTGTATAAAAATTACAGAAAGAATGAACACTATTCAGGGGCTGGAAGTCAGAGACTGCATTGAAGAAATCCAGACAAATGCTTTTCCCCCCCTATTTTTTCAGGCATACTTCAACAGAATGCATTTTTTCACTGCGACAGATAGACAGAAGTCTATGAAAGGCAGACAATGTACTTTGACACGTGAACACAAGAAGTCTTAAGACACTGACATTCCTGTTTTCTGAAACTATTAAGTTCCTCATTTTCTGCAAATTGAAGTATTGATTTTAAGCACGTGTATTAGTCCCCAAAACAATTTTAAACCGCAATTAAACCAGAAATAAATTAATACCTGGCAGCACCTCACTGGAATTTAGTGCAGCCCTCTGATCACAGTATCTACTTCTCCACTGCAGCAAAGCTTCCTGAAAAGATCGTGTAGATTCTTCCTCATTAAATGTACCACGCAGTAATAATCCAGTCTCCCATTTTTCAAGGCCTGCCCGTACTGATTCTGAAGGCTGAAAACAGTTTCACAACTTAATTAATACAGCACTTCTGATGCTAACCCCTCTTCCCAGCTATATACAGCAGCATACAACATTTTYACTTCAACAGCAGCAATGTGGCATTCCATTTCCTGTGCTTAGTTTAACTAACATGAAAATCAAATCATCCAATTGCTAAATAATAAATTTGCAATGTTCTAATCAAGAGCATACTAAAAAGAAATAAAAAAGAAGAAAAAAAGAAAGAAAAATACATGTTTTCAGTAGGCTGAAAACACTAGCCACAGCCTATATTCCTAGCAATAGCAGGGATGTGAAACAGTGGGCAACTTCCAACTTTCCAACAGCTACACGGGCTTCTGTCCATTAACAGAATATGATGAAACCATTAATTTATTATAAATACAGATAAACTTTCCACAGAAAGTAATAAAAAAGTAGCAGAAGGGAGCACAGTGATGGTGACAGAAACACCTAATTTCAATACTTTATTCATGGAATTATTCTGCACTATAGAGTGTGCATAATTGTAAGTAAGGACAACTTAAGTTACTGAATGTCACACAAAATGGAATATTCCAGTAAAGTGTTTTATATAAAATCTGACATAGCCTATAAATTGATATGTAATAACATACAATTAATTAATGGAGTTCAGTTTGAGAATTCTGCTTAATGAAGCTCTTCAGTAGAGAGTGACACTCCAACAGTTAACAAGATTAACTCAAGTATCAGTACACATTTAAAAATTAGTCTAGGAAAGCTCATATTATAAATAATTATTTGAATCCAAGTTTAGCCTGAAAAAAGCAACCACTGCCACACTAGAGAATTTGGTCATTTCTCCTTTCCTAGTCTGTCATTACGAAGGACCCAGAGGCTTTGCAGTTGCTGGTCACACAGTGGATGATGTCTGTGGCATAACAGTGAGTATGCAGGGAGAACAATTCCTCCAAACAGCAGCTAGTTTTTGTCATTTGCAATCTAACCAATTCTTACCCCACAGTGCAAAATGAATAAGATAAATTTGCTGCGTGAAAATGCCTGCTTTGTCCCAGGCCTCAAGCACAACAGGCCATCATCATCCCCAGCTGACAGCAATTCTTTTGCTCAGCCAGCATCACCAACTTGCTGTCAACACCCACAGAGACCACACAAGCACTTAAAGAAAGAAACAGGAAGAGTTCTCTCAGTTGTTGCCTTACTCCTTGGCTCATTCCAGCTCCTATGTACCATGCAGCTCAAAGTACTCAAGATAGAATTGATTTCTTTTTAACCACAAGAAAAAATATAAATAAGAAGGTACCATTTTCTATTTTAAATGCAAAAGATCACTTATCATACTTCTTGACTTCCTGCACTCTCGTTAGCTGCCTTTATTAACAAGACAGCATTATTAATTTCTGAGTAGAACTGAATAGGGAAGCAAATAGATGGAAAAAAAAATTTCAGGAGAGTTTAGATTTAGTCATTTCCAACTTAAATGGAAGGAGCACAGCACTCCATGACCCTCASTTAGATTCTAACATTTTTCCACCGAACTGCTGCATGCTGTCTAATTCCTACAAATCAACTTCTAACATCTCAGTACAGTTTACCTCTAAAAATAAATGTTTTGTAGGCTACACATGGCTTAGAGTTTACTATAGATCTACTACACTACACTGCTATATAGCAGCCACTCACCAGCAATACACTGTTTGTTTCACACTGCCCATCTGGTGTTCCCTTCACTTCAGGGGTTTTAGAAGCTACAACCTTCGTCACTTCACCCTTAAACGATTGTTGCATTGGCTCTGGAAAACAGCATCCCAATCTCTTATTGACATCTTTATTGCTTAATTGTTGTAACTTCCAAAACATATACTTTATTAGAAGCTTTTATTTAGATAAAATACATGTCTTTACCTTGAATCTGTTCTTTGAGGATTTTCAGTTTCACTTTTCCTGAAGATACCTAAATATAAAATAAGAACATTTATACAAGKAAAAATTAGACTATTTATACAATCTTATATAAGACACAGGATTAAAAATATTAAAGGAATTCTAAACTGGTAATGAAAATGTACACTTTTTTTCTAATTCTAGTATTTATATGAAAAAAGGCTAAATAGGTTGTAAAATTTGCATTGACATCATTTATGTGACCCATGCWGTGCCACCAAAAACTCTCCCATGGGACTTCCCTCTCCCCGAGTCCCAGCTGAAATAGCACCATCTTTACTTGCCCAGCCCAGTACACAGCAAAGTTCTCAAACACAGATATTTAAGGCTATTTCCAAAACACACTGTCCTAAATTTAGTCATTTAAATTTTGCCCCTTTGAAAATTCTGTCCTATGCCTCTCCTTAGCCATCACAGCTGTAATCTGAAGTCTCTGAAACAGTAGCACATCCAAGTTGTCTTAAAAAGAAGGAAAGAGAAGGAAGCAGAACTTTTCCTTCTGACACTCTTTCTTCCTTCTTTTGCTCAAGGAAGCAATTTTACTGAAGTTGTGTGTGTTGGCTGAGAAGATTTTGGCAAACTGCTGTGTCTTCAAAAGGCTTCAAACAGCAACCGTCACTGTGTAATCTGAAATTATCAATGTCTGGTTCCTCTTTTAGATTTATATAAGCTTTATATCTCAGGCACTTTCAAGCAGTTTTTCTAAATTAACAGCTCTTCTCAACATATATAGAAAACATATACAGGAAAAAAAAAAAAGAAAATGTCAGCACTATTTGAATATTATTTATGCCAGCTAGTGAGGCCCAGTGGCAAGAGAACCTGTGCTTGTGCTCCCAGCCTCCCTCTGTTCTGATTGTAAGAAACACAGAAGCATCAAGACACAAGATWACTGGGCATGCAAAAGATGCTGCGTTTCTCACACAGGCTATGGCTATGAAGACGGTAAACTTCTACCACAAGAAACTGGGTATCTCAGATCCACAGTCAGCCTCAAACAAGGTTAAATTAATTAGAAAGACAGACTCTTGATGACTAACTGGTGCCAAATTAGATTTACCATACTAACCTTACAGAAGCAAGGAAAGTTTACCTTGCAAGTAGAAAACAACAGATTACCAATAAGAACTTGCTGTTCCTCCAGCTCAAAGGGAAACCCACGCTTAACGTGAAAAATAAGCGATTTTTTAAAATTCTATTCTGAATTTGCTCATGCTTTTATTTTTACAGTATTTAAATTTGGTACATTGAGTAGTATGAGTCTTCTAAATCTTGTTTTTAAATGACAATATCCATGACTATGCTGATAGCTTCTTACCTTACTACTATTTCCTTGGTTTTGAGTCAAAACACGAGCGCGGATGGTCATTGGTCCTGCCTGTCCATTTCTCCAGTGAAAAGCTCTTGATTTCCTGTGAACCAACACCAACAAAAACATCACTAACCATGTGCCTTCTGTAAGCACGGGTGGAAGAAGCGTAGAGGTTTTTCTTAATTCTATTAAAAAACAAACACCACAAAAATCAAAAACTTTTAAGATCACCAACTCTCCAAAACACAAAATACTCTCATTCCTTGAGCTATGATTACTCTGCATCTACTTCAATAGGAATCAAAACACAATACATAAAGCATTTATTTTTGACTATTGTAATCTAAGTATAGACATACTAAAACCCCACCAATTTTCACAGTTTTGGAAGAATAAACACATAACAAAAATGATTACCCCAATTTACCCTAGGGCATTCATCCAGCACGGTTAATATGCACCATTGTTTACCATGCTAGGCGCATATAAACCTATAACACAGATTTTAGTGTACAATAGATCTGTTAGTGACTACCACAGTTGACATGGAAGATGGCAGGGAAGGGTTTCCAAATAAGCAGGGGTAGAGAATCATTTAGAGCTTTAGCACAGAGATTAACAGGCTCCATAATTTCTGACATTCATTAACAATTAAAGCAACTTTGGATACAAAAGCATTTTCCCCATCATACAGAAAACATTCTTTCTGAAAAGCTACATAGATGCATGCAAAAAAAGGACTGCCTCACTAAGACCAGATCCTCTTCCAAAACAGAAACTAGACTGGAACAGCAGGAAGAGAAGCAACATTTCCTCTCCTGCTTCAAATCTAGGATTACAAATCCAAATGGATAGGAGGCAGAGAAAAAGGGAGAAGTGAAGAGAGAATAAATGAGCCAGAAAGGATCTTTGTCTTGACAGAGATTTTAGAAAGCCACAGTACAGCAAGCTGAGCAGACTTAATATAACTCTGAATTCTAATTTTTTTAGGCCTGGGGGAGAGGGAGGAGGAAAGGAGGATCACTGTCTCACTGAATTCTTTTTTAAATAGTAATTTCACATACTTTCTCTCTTCTTTTTCCCTATTCATGTTTGATTGCAGTTGCCGTAATTTCTTTTCCATCTCCTTGTTTTCCTGTTCTAACTGTACTTTTTCCAACTGCAATTCTCTGACATTCCTGTAGTAAAATACGTGAAAGTGAAACCTTTAACTTGCCTCAGAAAGCAGATTAAAGCCTAAGAATCAAGAAAGGCTTATAGATAAAAACCTARGAGATAATATCAGAAAATAAATGTTTTATGATTCTTGTTGTGCCAATGCAAGTAAGTTCTTCTACTTAACGTTGCATTAAAACTTATTAAAAACCTTGAAACAACATCTCTATCATAGTCAGAGAAAATGCACTTACTTTGCTTTTAATCTCACTGAAGTTCCAGCTTTTGAACCTGGGAGTACTACAAAGTCCTTGATGTTCATGATTCCTAGAGTAATCTCTTCTAAACACGAAAATTAGAATCATTCAGTTAGCAACCTGTTCAAATGGGAATTTGATTGAAATTGAAATAGTAAAAACTTATTACAAAGTAGAAAATATTAATGTGGAAGGAAAAACAGAAATGTGCAGAAGGAATAAAATGCTCAATCAAATTTAAATTAAATACAACTGAAAAAAAAAACCAATAACTTTTCATTACATTTATGATTCTAAGAGAAAGATTTAGCTGTCTGTTTCATTTAGGCAATTCCCCAAGCTTGAGGAAGCTTGATTAGTATAAATAAATGCTTCTTTCTTGAACCAGACCCACAGAAAGCAAAGAACACAAGATAATTCTCAAAAATAAAGGCTGCAAGTCAGAGTAAAACCTTTGTGAATGGCTTGGGAAGATAAGCATCATGCAACATACACAGATTCATATTAACGTTGTGTTACTATATAATAACGTATATAGCCAGAAGAACCTTATCCCATACTGTCAAAAATTCAGAGACAATTTTAGTGATATTTAGATACTTTATAGAGTTTTGTTTCCAGACTCCAGATTTCCAGCTGAAATGATGTAGGTAAGCTTAGTATTTTCATCAGAAATATAAGTGAGCTCAAGAGCAAAAGCTGAGCTGTCTAGTCACACATATACTCAAACATTACAATTAGTACATTAAAACATATCTAAATACCACCTGCATCCATGAAACGTGTCAATAATATATTCAAAATAGCTTATAACCTCTATTGTAGCCGTAGATAAAAGCAGTGATGGACACACAAATATATTTCTTAATGTGGCTGGAAAAAACAARCATTCCAAAGGTTATAATTTCAAAGCAATTAATTACTCACTTCAAAACCATATCATATTATCATATTCTAAGATGAAGCAAGACTTATCTCTGAATAGATAAAGACTCTTCTATTAAGAAATACATTTGTATTAGCAGAATTACAACATCTAGGCAGAGAGAGATAACACTGGTTTTGGTTCAACTTGAAGATTGACATAAATGACTAAGGTCAACCAAGCTCAAAGAGGAAAAAAATACATATTTTTTTTTAAATTAGTATGAGTTAAAACTTCAGTCTGTTGCCTTGTAAGCAAACATTTAAAGTAGTTTTWAATGTTAGTTTTAGAAAGCTGTGTAAAGTAGATAAAACCATGCATAAAGTGGAAGAATGTAACACTGGGGGAAAAAAATCCTCTATTAGTACTTGAATTCAATTTTGTTTTTAAACTAAGCCTCCTATACAAATTAAATCTACAGACAATCAAATGAATACATTTAAGTCACTAAAATTTGCTTTTCCTGGTAAACAGAAGATTAAGGGCATATTTTTCCCCTTCTCACGTACGCATGTTTCAGTTTCATAACGTTATGTTACAGAGCATTTAATCTATACAGGATTTTACTCAAAATCTGTTATCACTTCATTAAATGCAATTAGGCAAGTTCATCCTCAATTAGTCTGCCATTCTACTATAAGAAAAAGGTTGATAGTGTAAGACAAAGATATWATATATGTAAATCATACTACTTCTATTATTTTTATGAATGCTACTACATAATTACTACCATACGCAGTCAGATCTCTTTATCCCCACTCAATTATGCAAGGCACAAAAAAACCCATAGTTTTTAATGCAACAGGACCATTTTCAAGGGTAGTTTACCCAAACTTTCTAAACTACTTACTTTAGGAAGCAAGTTTTAAAAGAGACAACTGCAAGCCTCCATCAGACTGCTTAGTACATGGTGAGAAACAGCATTATTTAAATAGGTAACAGGTGGTTAAAAGTGAATTGCCCCGAGAAAACAAATGACCATATTTATTAGGAGTCAAATACTAGAATCAATTGTAGGTTACTTCCAGTTTACAGTAATTTAACTAAAGCAGACTAAGTTTCTACAGCTTCCTCTCATCAGTAAATCTGTAAAATCCCATGGGAAACGACAGCATAGGTATTAAGCTGCATCGAATCCTCATAATCATAAATGCAGATTTTATGCTAGACTGAGTCCCTAGCCACTCAGTATTACTTCAAACCAAACTACTCTTCATTTACATGGAAGAAGAACTCTTAAGGCACTTAAGAATGTGCCCAGCACTGCTCCTCAAATCAGCCTTTTCTTGTTAATTATTATAATTGTATCAAGTAAGACTTTGGGTTCTCCCATAATGCTTTTTACCATTTCACTGATTTTTATTTTATTTTTTATTTTTTTTTTTTTTTTAGGGAGGAAAAGGAAAAAGGGACTTATTTTCTTAAAAAACAAAATGGACACAAGTGGTACCACTGATATTATGGCATGGAGAATATGAGCTTGAGAGACGAAGATTTCATTGCTCTACCTGACTGCTGGATTTATTAGATAATCAAAAGTTATCACATCCACTGCTTTACCAGCAAAACACACACAACTAAAACACATTGCCATCAGCTGGGCACATTGATAGTTTAACCAAACCCTATGATTTCGGCTGCATTTCCAGAAGTATCCTCAAACACTGAAAACATTACCAGAAAGGACTTTTTCTGTGCAACCTACTTAAAAATAAAATAAAATAATAATAATAATAATAAAGTTACTAACAGGGTGGGTTGGCACTAACATTACACAGCTACAGTGTCCACCTGCAAACCCCACAGAAACTGACCGTGCCCTGAAACCAGTATTAGGGGAAACAGGCTGGATAAAAGGGACCAAGTCGGTACCTGCCGTATGAAACTCGAGCCTTGGCYAAGCCAGGTTACAGACTTCAGGCACACCACAAGACTGCGCTACAAAGGCACAGGCAAAGACAAGTGAATTAAAACGAGAAAAACTATCGGTGTAGCGCATGCTCTGTGTCCCCCCCCCCCTTTTTTTTTTTCTCTTTTTCCTCCCTTTTTGTAAGTTACAAAAAGTCTGTAAAAGGCAGGAAGGCCAAGGAAAGAAGGAAACTGTGTAAAACCATTTAAAAAATAAAAKAATAAACAGAAATTGCAACCGCAAAGCACACGGGTGGGTGCCAAGGGTGMCCCCCAAGCAGCCTTCGCCTCGTGCCCCCACACGCCGCTTCCCGCCGAGGCATCGTCCGAGTCCTCCCCGCTCCCGAGGCGCCCCCACCGCCACCACCGACCCGCTGAACGCGGCCGAGCCGGGTCGGACCGGGCCGGATCGGGCCGGGTGCCGCCGCCACTGCCGGTTCCCAGGGCAACGGCGTCCCGGGCACCGAGGGGACGAGCGGGGAGGAGGCGCCTCCATTTGACGCCACAGGCGGCGCGGGCGGGGAGAGGGAGGGAAGGCGCCATTTTAGCTCGTGCTCTGGCGCCTCTTGCGGTTCCCTCGCAGCTTTCCGCACAGACAGGCTTAGTGTGTGGAAATAAATGTCTGCAGGTGGCGGGTTTATGCTGTTATGTGGAGTGTAACTGTACAAATACAGCGAAAAATCTCCCAGTAGTCTCGGTTACTCCTACCATTCAACGCTGTACTTCAATCAGAAGGGGTAAAGGGTAGGGGATGTGCTGAAAATCCTGGCATCGGCAGAGTTGGCCCAAACTGGTGGAATTTTTCCCWCAGTCAGGGCAGCTTTAGACACACACTTTAGTACATCACTGAGCAATGACTGAATTCAGTGTTAGCTTGGACCTGTGCCCAGAAAAGTGGCCATTCTCCCGGTCTCCTCACCCAAAGGCTGTGTCTTCCCACCCCATTTCAACCTTTATTCCCTCAAATGATGCCTACCATCCATGGCAGGATGATTATTTTTTAATCAATCACATTTTCCAGTTTATTTGCCTCAAGTTGAGCCCTTCCATGTTGGCTGTCTAGACTATTATTTATAATTGATTCTCCTTGAGGAAAAAAAAAAAGTCTTTATCGAAAAGCTGGCATTTCAGGAAAAAACTCTCAGTTTACGATCCAAGCCAAGCTTTAATATGTGCAAATTACTGTCTGTTTGAAATTTATGCACTATGAGCTGTGCTTCATTTGGAGAATTTGCATTTGTCCCATATGTATTCAAGCTAGGAGGCACAAAATAAGTTGCACGGTTTTTCTTGACTGTATAATCTGTCTGGCAGTAATTTTCCTTCATCATCGTGGTTACAGTACAGTTTTCAAAATTTTACCCTGGCAGGCAATTTGTGTTGAGAGCTGGTGGAAACACATATGGATTTTTTTTTTTTTTTGATCTTTAGAAGGAGCCATAATTTACATAATATATATGAATCTAAAAATATGTCCGAATACTCTCTCTTTTTAAACAAATTTGGAGTTGTTTTCTACTCCGTGAGGTGTTTTGGTAGAAGAAGCATAAACATATATACCCTTAACAAAATAATTCCACTGACCCTTCAAGTACTAACCAGCTTAGGCTTAATTATTTAGGAATAAATGAATACTTCCAGCCAATAAGCGACCTGGATAGCAGAAAAAAAAAAAAAAAAATCTTTTGAGGACATGTTTAACCAAAACTCACCTTTAAAAGCAACCAATACCCGAATACAGAAGAGGTTATATCCTAAGCCCCGAACATCCACATTTTCTGTCCTGTTTTTGTTATGGCTGAGGAGAATATTCTGTGTGAACTGTGCCATTGGCAATAGAGCTGATAAGCATTCAGGCCAGCAACATCATTTTATAGCATATGTGCATGTTCTTTCCCATACGAAATAGGAAAACCAGATAAATAGAATTCTTCCTGTCACGTTCTGTGTCAATGCTTTCAGCAACATGTGTGTGGGAAACTTAGCTGTTATATTGAATGAATAAAAAAAGTAACATGTTATTGAGGATGATTTATGTCCCAATCATTGATGGTGTGTTCAAGACTACTTTTTATTATGAAGTTTCCACTAAGAAAAAAAGATCTCTCAGTTTTCTGCGGGAAAAAATATTATTTGGTTGCCAGACTTAAATGATTAATACTAATAATTTGATGATATTTATGTAAATGAGATTTAAATAGAACTAAACACTAGAGAAGATGAAAAGAATCCAAGTATATATTTTTTATATATGTATGCATACATAAATATGTATATTACATATATATGTATATATATATATTTGATACTCAGCTTTCACAGATGTATAGGACATGAAATAAATAATAAAGTGTCTAWTTTCTCCCAGGGTCATGTCCCTGGAAAATATATGTAAAGTTCAGAAGGAAAAAAAAATAAAGAAAAACAATTGAAATTCAACTAAAATCCATCTGGTGGAGTTGTGCTATAAGTTATAAACCTTCTGTGCTTCTTAAGGCTCTTCTTGTTTCCACTACCTTTGTTCCTGTACCGTTTCTTACAAATGGAATCAGATTTGGTAACTTTTTCCTTTTTTCTTTTCAGTATATACTAAAATATTTTGAAATGGTGTTTTGTAAATTTTATTTCAGAAATATTCTTAGAATGATAGTTCTATAGTGTAGTCTACACCTTAGCAAGACCGTTTTGTAAGGTTTTGTACCAACATACGTTTCAATTTTAATTTGCAGTTCCTTAAAATTTTTTCAGGCTTCAGTTTCAGACAAAATACAAGTCTGTTTGTCATGTAATAAGTGGAAGCAGCTTTAGAAGTAATGAGGATTGAGGAATGTCTGATCTCTGAGACATTTTTAGATGGATTTAGGCGAGGTGCATAGGTCTTAACCCCATTGTTGGAGAGACAGGAAGAGCTGAAAGATACTTGGGAAAGCAACAAAGTGTGTCCAGTTCAGGACAAACCAAATTGGCGACAATCATTGCTTTGGAGTCTTTGTGTTAGTCCCTGCTTTGCCTTCTCTGATCACATTTCTAAACTGTGAATAAGGGCTTAACCCTAAAGATCAAGGAGCATCATCCAGTCCGTGGCCCTCAGGCATGATTTCCTACCTCCTGGGAGCTCCTGCCCTTTCCACACGGATCATGGAGTGCAGTTGTACGGAGTGCTGAACTGCACCCAAAACTGCTACGAGGAGCAGAGGGGGCAGCTCTTGGGAGAAGTCCCTCTCCGCGTCCGTGCGGTTTCTGCGGTGGGCATAGCTCATGTGTGCCTAGCACAGAAACTGCTGCTGGGATAGTGGAACGCTGCCCGTGCAGGAGAGATCCCACGCGCAAGATCCTGGGCATTGGGGCTATGAATTAGGTTATTACTGAAAATGAAGAAAATACATTTTTAATTTTTCCTCAAGCTCCCTTTATTTACTTTCTGCAAACATCCAGGTAGTTTAAATTCCATTTTTATGAACATTCACCAAAAGCCAGTTTTGAAATCTCATATACCAGTATTTGCAGGAAATGAACTTGCAATTTGCTCTGGAAAATCTCGTGCTTATGAGCAGCCAAGAAAAGGAATAATACCATTTTACTTAMCTGACCGCACACGGCTAATACAGATTCAATAACAAAGCAGAGTATTATTTGCTATTGCCAAGAGGAGACCAAGTTATTAGTTGTGATTTGCCTGCTCCACTCTGCTGCACAAGAACCTTATTTCCCCCGTCCTCCAACATTTCTTAACTGCAGCCTAGACAGTGACAGCTACCAATCAATCAGCTATGACATGTGTTAAGCTTACAGTCACATCAGATCACATTTAAGATAGTCTGAAATATTAAAGCTGTTTAAATGGGGGGCAATTCCAAAAGAGCATAATCCCCGTTCCTTGATAGGAGAGGGCTGGTTCAGCCTGCTGGGAAGACAAACCCCAGCAGGGTGTGCRTTCAGAAGAGAAGTCAGTGAACACGTGCCAGTTATCTGAGAAGCTTGTGGTCTTGTGGTCAGTGAGTTGAAGCTTGTGCTCCATGCCATAAAATAATGATTCCAGCATTTCAGCTCGTCTCTCATGAAATAATGTCCTGAGATGAAAATCTCGGTTACAGCTTTGGTTTTCTATCAAAACTGTCTTTCAGACGCTAGATCTGCATTGCCATGTTCAGTTGTTTTTTCACATTCTTCACAAGTTAGGGCKCTTTGTTCAACCAGAGCGATGTGTTTGATTAAAATCCTTGAGCTCAACCTTGGGCTCACCTAAGCATATGCAGAAGTAAAGAACTGCACAG